CCCCGGGAAGATTATTTTTAAAATATTGAAGTTAAATGCATCAATCTGGTGCACTTTGAGAGCAACATGAAGAGATCTATGGAAAGCCTACATCTCTCAGCATCCATATGAAACAGAACTGTACACAGATTTACTTTTTCTTTATGGATATTTTACTAATCATTCCCCTTTTAAACTGTATTCTTGTGTTACTGTCCTATAGTATTTCATACCCGTTTTTCATTTATTCTCTCTTTAATAACTATAATGATCATATAAAGGTATTCCTCGAAAATACTTACATAAATGGTGACCAAACCGTTTGAGACCCACTGAGATAACTTACACTAAAGTGAACTATCTAAACACTGAGAGAGTCCTTACCTCACTGAGCTGATGTTATAAGATCCCCTCAGTCTGACAGGAGAGGACTCTCCTCCACCTTGGTGTAGAAACAGCCCTTTATATCCGTTAGCATAGCTAGCTAACCAGATGCTAACAACATTCCACGTTACCGCTCGCGAACTCACAAAATGCGCTCGTGCCACACACAGAGAGCCGAGCTTGAATGAAACACAGAGACCCAGAAGTAGGCTACTTGTACTGTACTGTATATCATATTATTTTCGATGGCTTTACTGTATAATCAGTGTAACAGATGAACAGATCGCCACTGGGCTTTCATCTAAACACACTGCCACGTAATGATAACAAAAAAAAGGTCGGGGGTCATTGGTCAAGCAATACACCAATCAGAGAGCAGCAGTGAGCACACCTCAGGCTGTGTTTTATATTTGTATTCTTTATTTCTGATGTATTTCACACAAAAAACCTTTAGTGGAAACGTTTTCACTTATATGATTAAAAAAAGAAAAAAACGGCAAAGTGGCAAGGCTTGCCAACCCTGCGTTGGGGGGGCACAGTGACTCATTTGGGGGGGCATGGCCCGCGAATGACCCCCCATGACGCCGACCCTGGCTGTAGCTGTGAGTCCGTTGAGGAAGGCATTACTGAGGTGTGTCCCCCAAACACCTGCTTGGTCCCCTAGGGCATCGGGTTTGTTTATCCCGCTGTTGTCCCGGAATACTTGGGCCTGATGGGGGTGGACGAGCTTGGAGTTGACGGGGAGTCGGGGAAAGGGGGAGAATGTTGGCTGCATGGCTGGGGCTTGTAGTGGCGGGGGAGGTGGTTGAGGTGGGCCAGCCGGATTGCCAGGGTTGTACGCCGGGGGAGGGAAAGGATACCCAGAGTCGAGGAGAGGGTCATTCAGGCCTGCAATGGAAGGATACAGAGATGTCTGGGGTTTACATGGTTTTGGAAATAATTTATTTTCCTTCTTTCCTTCACATTCATCTTCAACCTTAATATTGTCTTTAATGCCGAGGCCAACTGCCTCCTTTCACGGCATTCTGCTTCATCCTCCCAGTATTATAAACACTTTCTGTGAGTTTCCAGCTTTTCTAAGTCTTTTACTTTAACTTTACTCTTATTTTTCATTCCATCTTCACACTCTTGTAATTTATCCTTTAGGTCCTTGATTTTTTATTTACTCAAAGAACCTCCCTTTGGAAATCCGAACATTTCCGTCCAGATATTTAATTTAGACAGACTGTTTTCACCATGTTTTGCTCGCATGACATCCACAATTGGACCCCCAGGAGGGTGTACTAGCCCCCTACTCTGCTTTGCGTTCCATAACAAAGTCTTTAAGTGTTACCTAAACACCCCGTGTTACCAAAACACTATTTTTCACCCGTCGGTGATGTGATACTTGTTCCTCAGTACAAATCACCCAAAAACTGATCGTAAACCCTGGTTACGACGGATATACCAAATATCCTACTTTCGAGCAGTCCCTCTCATACATGTCATGGAGTTTAATTAAGTTTAACTTTAAACAATTTAGACATTGTACATCTCACCGAGTATTGAAAGCCTTTTGAGTTCGTTGGATCTCGTGAAGTCAATCGGTTCCACCCCGGCGCTGGTCCTCTCGTCCCGTACGGTTTCTGTCGAGGTAGAGGAGAATCCGAGGATCCTGGAGCTACCACCAGCGTCCGTAGGTGTCCCCAATCGAACTTGCAGAGATCCTGCCGACAACGCCAAGTTGTTACGAAAATCTTAGACCTAGTTAATACTGTGGAGATACACAGGTCAGAATGATCAACAATAAATGGTGAAACAAACAGAGTTGTCTTTCTGGTTATTTATTTGAATATTCAAAGACACAGGTCTCACAGAGTATAGGATAGTCTGCAGGAGTGTGTGCAATAGTCACAAAATAGCAAAGCTTATATACAAGAAAGGGCGGGCAGACAGAGTTTCCTCAGAAATCTGCTTTCACACGGTCTCATATTGTTATGGGAGTTCAAACTTTGTGTGAAGAGGAGTAGTTTCAACATAGTCTGCCAAATCAGCTCTGTGGCCTTGAAGCGCTTGGGAATAAAAACCCTCATTAGAGTATGCAGAGAAAACAGCACATATCAGGAAATGGTATAGTTGTTAGACAATGCTTTTAGAAGCATTTGGTTTTACCATATTTATAGGTAACATAAGAAATTGCCATTACATGCCTTATGTGCCTGTCTAACTGTGTAAGTGCCTGTATACTGATCTGCATTGCTGTAAATAAACTGCGTTATTCAATCACTCACAACATGATTCATTACATTCAAGCATGGAACATTTTGTACAACATTGATTGATTAAAAACATGGATTGTCTTGTTTTCGATGAAGACAAACCCTTCCTTAACCATTCTTTTTGTAACATTTGTGGATTTTGAGCATACAGTTAACATTGTGACACTATGAAATATGGTGGACTTGACACACCCATCACAGGTCTTAGTTGTGATTATTGCACAGAGTTATTTCCTAACTCTTTTCCTCATTACAAGACTCTCACTGGCTTCATTTGGTGAAAGTTATCAGTATTTCACAAGATCAAAATCCACTAAATATTCAATATTGCTTTAACCGTTGTGTTGTGTTCGAAAGCTGTTTTCGTTCATGGCGTTCGCGGGTCAATTTTGACCCATAGTTTATTTCAGTCCAAAACACAACAAATAAATGACTATCATCCAATATTGTTTTAACTACATCATAACTAACTTATTATGCATTCATAACCATACAATCCTGTTGTAATTTTATTCTATGGCCCCAAAACACATTACACCACATATTGCACACGTACATGTGTGTGTTCAGGTTCAAGTGTTAGTGTACATATTCTTTGAGAAAGGTCGAGTTTACGTGGGGGGGAGGGGGGCCAGAGGGATGGGAGACCAGGTGTATGTTGCGAAAAAATATTGTTACTGTTGATGAAGGGGGTGGGGGAGGGGTGTCTAAAGTCAAAGATGAACCTTGATTGGGCCAAATTTGACCTCGAGTGACCCACAACAATTCTGCTGGGTCTTCCAGACCCGAACACCAAATTAGACACTTTTTTTTTAGAGACCTTCAGACTTGGCTAAAATTGTCAAAATCAGTTTTGTAGTGTTTATATAGCTGTTGTGGAGGATATCATGAAGCCTTGTCCCGATACAAAAAACTAGAGCGTATTATTATATCATTTAACTTGAAACGGGTCACGGGAGACCCGAACACAACATAAGGGTTAACAGACCTTTGTGCATGCTGTGTTTTATCATGTGCATGTGGAATTGTTCTGTTCCTCCTTCATCAGATACGTTTTACTTCAGAACATAGGGCTTAACCACACATTGATTACAAATTGCAAAAGTCAGTTTTGGTGTCTTATAGAGTCAAACATGCTTCAGAATCTTCATCAGATACATCTGCACATCAATCACTCCTGTTATTATACAACAAGTAGCCTACGTATATTAGATATTAGCCCTTAAGCATGGAACAACTACAGTTATTCTGAAGTGCAGACAGTTTAATGTCCTAAAAACTGTTTGTTTCTGATTGTGGCTCCCTCTGCTGTTCGTTATACAGCAATAGCTACCATGTGTGTCCCTCTTCACAGCTCTTTGACTATGGCAGGAAACCCTCTGAGTTTCTGGTTGGATGTGAAATAGGTCTAATTTAAGAAGAGGTTGAACGCAAGAGAGGTTCAACTTTGCAAAGTATACCAAAAAGGAGATAAAATGAGCAGAAACGATATACTATAGTGACCTTTTCTGTTGTTTTTAGTTTAGACATGTGGTGTGGAGTATAGAATGTAATCTACACTGTACCACCAAACAGGGTTTTAAAAATCAGCCATGTTTTAAAATGTATTCAGCTAAAAAGATTTCATGACATTTTCAAACCGGTATAGATTATTTGGGTGTGTATGGGATGGAATGTGCCGATTGAACATCTTCTGAAACTGGGATTATTAAAAGCTGATATAAATCTTCAGAAAAAAAGTGTTTAACCTGAGGGAGGGAGTCCCAATGATTTAATTCTTCATAAATAATCTCAGGAAATAATACTATAACTATTTCTTCCATTCGCACACATGTCTCATTGTGAACCTACTTCAACCAACTGATGTATTGAACTCAGTGAGAACTGAAACCGTAAATGTTAAGGGAAGCAAAAAGTACAGACTTGCTGCTCACATTATTGACCCCAACATAGATCTGCAAATTCAGCAGCATTGTTTTCAGTTTTGAAAATGGGAATAAGGACGTTTAGTACAAAAATAACTGTCACCTATCCTCCCCCTAATTGTTCTGCTTCAGGGTGCTTTGATCACCATGGTTTATTTTCTTAGTTATACTTGCACTTAGTAATCATCCCACCACAATAGTTGGAGTACTACAACAAATACCCAACTTTAAGGCCATACTGATTTGGAATATTTTTTTGAAAAACCACGAGAAATCTTAAAATCCATCGGGAAAACAACAAACATTATATTAGTGATTTAGAGATTATATGAATGAATAAAATGGCCCATTTAATTCCCCTAAAAGTTTCACATCCGATTGATCCCGCCCCTTCACTCGTACGTCATAACGCACAACGCGCTGATTGGCTGTTTGCTTCGTGGCCTGGCAACCAGAAGAAGCTTTACTAAACAGACCCTACTACCAGTAGCATCTGAGCTAGCTAAAACTCCTAGCTTTCTACGTTTTCCAGGGAGATTGAAGCGTCCAAATACCACCATGTCTTCAAGAACTCTGCCTCTGCTATTCATCAATCTCGGCGGGGAAATGCTGTACATCCTGGACCAGCGGCTTCGCGCTCAGAATATCCCTGCTGACAAAGCTAAGAAAGGTAGCTAGCTTAGCAAGCAAACAACACTAATGTCACCCTGCAGTAAAACCTTAGTGTTACCATGGCGATAACGGTACATTCATGTCAGTCTGTTTACCGTTACTGAATTCAGAATACGTTTGGACAATTATTACAAAGCCACGATAAAGCAAATGTAAGAGTTAACATTAGTGAGTCAACTAAGTCAAAATGCAAAGGCTTTAAGTCCCAGGCTCCTCCAACAATGCAACACAATATAAGACATAAAACAATAACAAAGACAATGAAAATAGTGCAAAGTAGTAGAAATACAATTCTGCAAGATGAACCAATGTGTCAGTAATGCAGCAGAAGTTAACTATATGTCAAATAAAATACAATAAGCTAAATGTTGCAAGTTACCAAGTAGATGCAGGAGTCTATATTCATGTCAAATTGAATAGCTGGTAAACTATTTTGAAGATTTTGATAAAATCATAAATCACATAGAAAACAGTGACTGTTGCATGGGGCACTGTAATTAGGAATTCAGAACAAATAGTTGTAATACTTCATTTTCAACTCATGTGCAACTTCACTATCTGCTCTGCTATATATCATTTAAGGATGCATTCCAAAGTAGTAAACAACAGCCTTTAGTCTCTTGTCATTCAACAATCTGGTTTTCCAAACATTCTTTCATTTATCTCTATCTTTTTTTAAATCATAAACTTCCCAGGCTGGACAGAGGATGACAGAAGGAAAGGTATAATACAGAGCTTTGGCATAATCTCGCATCGATGCATTAGTAGCTCTTTACTTTGCTTGGGCCTAGACTGAAGCAGCACGCTGAATAAACAATCAGACTTGGAAAACAGACAACAGATGAAACCTCATGCACTGCAGTTGTCTTTGCACCCAGGTACATCCTGTAAGGTCACTCAAATGCTCACTTCCTGGTAGGGTTGCAAAGGGGCGGAAAGTTTCCGGTACATTTCCAGAAAGTTTCCATGGGAAGTTAAGCTGGGGAATTTTGGAAATATTCTATGCAAAATTAAACAAAAAACATGACATTTCAACAGATTTTTATTTTATTTATGTTTTTATAAGTAGAAGAGAACAAGTTTTAATTATTTAATTGAACAATTATTAGTTTAATTGAAGAACGAAAACAGGAATGTTTTAAAAACCAAAAATGCATCCCCCATCCAAAAATCCCCACAAAGTCCCATTCAAAATGTTAAATGAAAAGAGCTCTTCCTGGGCCTCATCAACATCCAACTCTGAGTCTTCCTCTTCAGTGTCACTGTCCAGCCTTGTTGAGGATGGCTCTGTGTCCGGCTCAAAGAGCCTTAGGTTTGCCCGAATGCCAACCAGTTTTTCCACTCTCACAATTTTGAGCCTGTTGCGAACCTTTGTGTCGTCTCAATAGCCATGCAGTAAGCAGTGTGCTATGTGCATGGATATTCAAGTGTACTTGAATGGCATCCGTTTGTTATAGCCAAGATTATGCTAAAATATACTTTCCCCAACTATATCTAAGTTCCCTACGAAGAGCCAACCTTCAATTTAGAAAATTCCCAGTTTATCCCCTGTCGTGGCTTCCTTCCTTGTCTTTCCATCAAGCCACTAGATGCCTTAAACAGACAGTTCTAACTAGTTTCTTTCCTTTAAATTACTCACAGTTTGAAGTGTTGCTTGGCCTCCGATGGTTTAGAAGATGTTGCGATGTGTTTGCTCAAAATAAAATAACAAACTTTTGCACATGCAACAAAGAAAATAGGCCTTTACAATATTCAAAAGAAATAGGCAAAACTCAAATAAAATAACAAACAACTTAGGTATTCTTTCTTTCTTGATAATGCTTATAACTTCATAACTTAAAGGGTACTTGTACGGTTTATATGTACGGTACGAGTACGGTTAAAAACTGTTCCTCGACGGCGTCTCAACAGGTTGCCCATCACTGTGGCTTTAGCACAGGCGCCGTGGGAATTGTAGTCCTTTATAGTGCATTGACTACAGACGTCACAATTAGGTGGCCTTTCTTATCAAATCAAAATACTGGCTCTAACATCCCCGTTAATTCCCATGGAAAGTTTCCATCTTTGAAAATTCCCGGAATTTTGCAACCCTACTTCCTGGTCATAACTGTAATTGTTTAATTCACATTATGAGGAAGGGAATTATTTATAATTACTGCACATTTTTGATTATCAATACAAAAAAACAAACAAGTGCATTGTTTATTCTGCATATATAAAGAAGCTCATATTGTAATGACTGTCTCTAATCTGAGAGCAGTGTTTTATTTTTAACAGCTTTTGTTTTGTAGTTGAACCTTAGCTTCCTTACTTCCTGGGTAAGTAGCACTACAGAAAATACTTCATAGCCCAACTTTGGTAATGAATTACGTGTATTTACTTCTCCCTTGAGCCAAAACAGTTTGTCATCACTCCTGCTCATTGCAACAGGGATTGCTGGACATGACAAATCACATTTTTCTGAAGTGTGAACACAGAAGAAATCTAGCTTGCAAACGCCCCTCTTCCAACTAGGAAATATGCAGTTGGCTTTTCCCGCTTCTGCTTTATTAGGGCTGCTGTTAGGCTTTGGAAAAAGGGTTTTATGCTAACATATAGTAGAACATGCTGCCAAATTCTGAGCTAACAGTGTGATAAGTACTTGTGTCTAACCTCTCTTAACAATGTGCGGACTTGTCTGTTCTACTGTTGTCTAGTTATGAATGACATCATCAGCACCATGTTCAACAAAAAGTTCCTAGACGAGCTTTTTAAGCCCCAGGAGCTCTACTCCAAAAAGGCCCTGCGGACTGTGTTCGACCGGCTCGCCCACGCCTCAATAATGAGACTCAATCAAGCTAGCATGGACAAGGTAAGTCATCCTGTACATGTGCATACTGTGTCTTGCAGACGTGCAATTGTTGTGTTCCCCCTTTTTCTCATTTGAATGCTTTCTTAAGTACACAAGGCTTAACCAAACATGAATCATAATCTCTCATCATCTGCACAGTGATGTCAGTCTGTTCTGCAGCCTTCTTAGTATACACACTAGATTAGTAATTAAGATGAACATAATTCACATCTTTATAAGATAAATATACACATCAATCAATGCTTTGTGATTATACAAGTGTGTACACATTGTGTTGCCCTTGAGCAAAGCACAACAACATTAATCCTGAGGTGCAGACAGATTCATATTGTAAGCACTGTTTGGTTCTGTACGTGGCTCCCCCTTCTCAGCTCTATGACTTGATGACCATGGCTTTCAAGTACCAGGTGCTCCTCTGTCCCCGACCTAAGGACATCCTCCTCGTCTCCTTCAACCACATGGATGCAATCAAAGAGTTTGTGAAAGACATTCCCTGCATTCTCACCCAGGTTGATGAGACGTACCAACAACTCATACAGGTTTGTGTGGCTGTGGTTGGATATTAACTAGATGTAATTGAATAGGAGGTTGGACACAAAAGGCCTTCAAACTGAGCTATAAAACACAAATAACTTCAGTTGTAAAATAGTGATGTTTTTTGTTGTTTGTAGTTAAGACATGCAGTCAGGTGGAGAGTACAGAACTCCCCTTACACTTTAGTAACACGAAACAAAAAGCGATAACTTGCAATGTATCAACGCACAGGGTTTCAAAACCGCCATGACAATTTGTGTGACCAAGAAAATGAAACACACATCACATGATGGGAATGTCCATATATCAGACCAATCCTATAAAGCAAAAAAAAACACAACATCATCAAATTCAAGTAAATAAAAGCATTTTAATTGAAGCCGACTTTTTGATCTACTCTCCTGATTCAATATGGTCACTGATGCAGGTAGTGCAATATACTGTCATCATTTCAAATACACAGCAATATGATGCACATGCTATGTCAATGATTTTGTTGTGTATTTTCTAGATCTATACAAACTTGTCCAGTGGGGAATTCCAGCTGATCAGACAAACTCTCCTTATCTTCTTCCAAGACATGCATATAAGAGTAAGTCTGTTACGTTGGCACATTTGAAATCATCAGATGAGATTATATGGGATTATCTTGTATTGTCTTTTGTTTTTATCTTCCTCACGAGCCTGTTTCTTTGTTTCCTCCCATGCCAGGTGTCTATTTTCCTGAAGGATAAAGTGCAGAACTCCAACGGTCGCTTTGTGCTTCCCACCAGTGGTCCTGTGCCTTATGGAACACAAGTCCCTGGCTTGATAAGGTACATCTGTACACATCTGTTTTCACGCAGACCCAGACCATCTTCACTCTATGGATTGGTAGAGATGAAACAGGTGGCTTCTTGCTTGGATCCCAACATGTAACTCTGCTCCTTGGAATGATCTTAAATGCCTTGTGGTCTCTCATGCTTTCTGATCTTACCAACACGCTGTAATCTTAATTGAACCTATCTGCAGCTAATAGCATTACAGAGGTTTGGTTTAAAAGGCATTTACTTTCTAATTTTAGAAGTGAGGTATGTTTACCTTGGATCAAATCACTTGAACTATTTCATGTAAAGCAAGGCAAGTTTATTTATATAGCACCTTTCAGCACGCGACAATTCAAAGCGCTTTACAAAATCAATTAAAAGACATTTTAAGAATAAACACAGTAAAAACACATTATATAATGACATTTTACAAAAGTAATCAAATAAACACAACAGGTATACAATACATGTATAAAAGGCATACTGCAGTACGAATATGATCAGCTCAATTAAAAGCAGCGGCAAAAAGATATGTTTTCAGTCTCGGTTTGAAAATAGTAAGAGTTTCTGCGGACGTGCACGATTCGGATTCGGGCAGTTTGTTCCAGATTGTCGGGGCATAATAGCTAAACGCTGCTTTTCCATGTTTTGTTCTTACTCTCGGAACCGATAGCAGACCCGTCCCAGAAGACCTGAGGCACCTTGATGGTTCATAATTATGTAGAAGAATATACTTTGGTCCTAAACCATTTTGTGATTTAAAAAAACAGCAATAGTACCTTCAAATCAATTATTTAGCCGACTGGAAGCCAGTGTAAAAATGTCAGAACCGGACTGATGTGATCCACTCTTTTAGTGTTAGTGAGGACTCGAGCAGCAGCGTTCTGAATCAGCTGCAGCTTTCTAATGGATTTTTTGTCAGCCCTGTGAATACACTATTGCAGTAGTCGAGTCTACTGCAGATAAAAGCATGGACAAGCTTTTCTAAATCCATTAGTTTTTTAATCCTAGATATGTTCTTCAGGTGGTAGTATGCAGACTTAATAACTGTTGTAATGTGACTGTTGAAACTCAGGTCCGAGTCCATCACTACACCTACATTTCTAGCTTTACTAGTTGTTTTGTAGTCTGCCGGCTGAAGCTCTGCGATTACTTTTAATCGGTCCTTCTTTGCTCCAAAATGTATTCTTATTTTCATTTGTTATGTTAAGATAACAACAATCCATAATGTTAAGATGAATTATACATTCTAGATGGGATGGTTTACTATAAGCTCCCGGGGGTTTCTTACCTCTTCTGCACAATCTATGCGTTTTATGTCAAATACTTAATTTGTGCTTATAAATTAAATTAAACATGGAAAAAATGTATACATTGAGGAAACCGGCTCACATGTAGAACATCCGAGATTCAACAGTGTTCAATTATTCAAAGCAAAAGCGGTCTGGAGGACTTCCTTAGTGTTCACAGAAAATGTTACAGAAATGTCTGTGCGTAGAGATTGAATGAAATGCCTGCTGGTTCGTGACGTGTTGTGTTTTTGTATCTGTTTATTCCAGGATGTTTAGCTGTACCGGTAAAGAGGTGTCCAGGCTGCAGTTCAGTAATGGAGGAAACTATAATGCTGCTATCCGGGAGGGATCATTCGAGATATTTGGAGACAGGGTCACCAAACTAGGAACAAACATGTAAGAAGCTGCAAAGTATAACAAATGTACAGGAACACAGCTGCATGGCACTTGATTTATTCAATGGCAGTAGATTGATGATTATTTCTCTGGCCCAGGTATTGAGATAAGAAGTCTAAGAAATCTAAATGTCTAACTAATAGTTTTGTCATTTCATTACATCACGGTGTGAAAAACCTAAATAAATGTTGAGTTAAAGGTGGGGTAGGTAATTCACTTCAGAAACACTTTTTGTTATATTCCATGGAATGCTCTTAACATCCCGATGGCAATGAATACATTAAGTGCTTTGACAATAAATACATTAAAAAAAATGTCATCTGTGGAAGCCGTAGCGCTGTAAAAAGTACGACCAATCATCTGAGCCGGCTAAAATAACTGGATGGCCTACCTGCCTGTCAGCCTTCCATCACGTGCACAAACTGATCTGGTGCCCTCATTGGTCATGTGCGCGTTCGTGTGTGTTGGAGGAGGGGCTCTGTAAGGAAGTCTGAAGGAAGGGGCAGATTTTTTTCGGTTGTGTACTTTCAAATTCTAGCGCACTCGAGCTGGTTTCTCCATTCTTACCTACCCTACCTTTTAAGAGTATAAAGCAGTGTTTCTCAAACTTTTTCATACCAAGGACCACTTAACCAATAAAAAAACACTTGCGGACCACCTAACTCCACAAATATCAAAAAACACATCGTTTTTTACAAATCGCCTGAAAATGGTACAAACAAGTGGCAACATGTATGATGAAGGTGTTTATCTGGGCTATATCATGCAATCGAAAGTGAAACTTAAGCTCCCTCCATTGCGGAGATATTCCCGCGAGAGTGCGGAAAACTTAAATAAATGTAAAATGTGAAATGTTACCAATATACTCACGGACCACTAGGGGGCGCTCACGGACCACCAGTGGTCCGCGGACCACACTTTGAGAAGCACTGAAGCCATGTTGTGCTAAATGTTAATTCTCACTTTTTCATCATTTAGGTACAGTGTAAGTCGCCCAGTGGAAACACTCATATCAGGAACGTCTACAAATTCTGCTCAGCACGCAAAGGTGAACAGCTTCACTTTAAACATTCCTTATTTTATTAATGCTCACAATGTTCACTGATTTCATGCACAAGATGTACATTTTAGGACAGGTTCTGACGTTGTCTCCTCACATGTCCTCAGCACATCAAAGGTGACTCTGCCTTATGGTGCATAATCATCAGTAGCAGGGTCTTGTAGACAGCAGTTTCCCCATGAATACACTGAAGTGAACAAGCCATTGTGTGTACAGGTCAACATGGCTCCCAACCCTCTGGCCAAAGAGGAGCTGAATCTGTTGGCCAGGTTAATGGGAGGGTTAGAAGTTCAGAAACCAGGAAATGCAGACAACGGCTTCAGAGTCAACCTCTTCGCCACAGATGAGGAAGAAGAGTGAGTCCCCTTATTTGTGTATGTACCTTCAATGTGTTGACCTAAACTTTTATAATAACTCGAAACTAACGTTGTGACTCTTTTTTATTCATTCACAGAGAGGCATTTATATCAAGACCAGATGAGCTTTTATATGGAGTCATAAAGATCCAAGCAACACAGGTAAAGCATCTTTCCTCACTAAGTGTTTCTTTAAGGATGAAATCATTGGATGTCCAGGATTTGTGTAGTGAACATTTAAGCTGGAATGCACATTTAGTGACAGCAACTAGTGATCTCAGACTAAGTGTATTGATTACAAGATTACTCTAATTGGAGAGGACTGTGGTCGACAGACGGAGACGTCGTGAGTGACGTCAGGTTTGTTTACGTCCGGCTAGGAAAGGAGCTTGGTTGGATACTGCTCTCCTCACATCTGAGACTGGTCTTCAAGGTGTTCAAAAAGTGCAATTTAGTTGTTGGCAACATTTAAGTAACGATGTTTAAAGACATAGTAATAACATATGGGACCTGTCTAAGAAAAACATTGACTCAAGGGTTTTTATCTCAGATCTAATATGTTTGTCTGCGACAAGCAAATTGTGGCCAAAATGTAATAATAATAAATTATATTTCTATGGCGCTTTTCTTGAACCCAAAGACGCTTTACATTTGGGAGGGAGGGTAGACAAACAAAACAAGAAACAAAACAAAACAGAAAAGCAGTCAGGAGGAAGTTGGAAACATTTAGTCTGCATTGATTCAATGTGTCGGCCTCAGCACTAGTAGGCTGGTTTGCACCGTTGGTAAGAAGGTCACATTAGTAGAATCTGCTCCAAAAGTTGCTTATCTCAATGATAGGCTTTGGGTTATTCCGTCAACGATCAGAGATGTGAGGCTTGGCCAGTCTAACAGGATTTATTTGAATGAGGTTTAAGTCCTTATGATGACCACTCAAGCCCTCTGATTGGTGGATTACATTGTCTTTCAGGACCAGCAGGCCACTGCAGAGCTGGCCAAGATCATGGGGGAGTTTTCGGAGTCAGGAGATCAATCTCCCATCGTCAGCAGCAAAGGAGACGACCTTCTGGCCATGATGGACGGGCTGTGACATGGTCATCCTGACAGCAATGCTCAAGGGGTGAGGCTTAATGCATCGTCAACAGTCTTTACTGTGGACAAGCCTTCTGTCTGTACCTGCATACTGTTTACACCTCACATGCAGAGAGAAGACCTCCTTTTTGGGGTGTTTCTAAAATGCAGATGTCATCAGGTGTTCCCATTGGTCATCAAATGATCAGCGCATTTGCATAGTAAACAACAAGGAATGTGGTGAGCCAAGCTTTAAGCTGTAAAGCACTGTATTAGTATGGTTGTTGTTAACTGAAAACATTTCTGTGCATCAAGATTTACAGTGGGCTAATATCAGCGTGTTAACATGTGTACGTGGTTATAGCAAAACATGTGTCTAATGTCATGATGCGTTTTAGAAATCAGAGTCAGACTGCGCTGTTCAAAACACACATTCCTTTCATTTCAAGCAATATCATTTATTTTGAATGTTATCTCAGTTTTAGTTGATTTGGGAGTTCTAATGGGAAAACTAGGATATCAGGTATTATGTGATGATCGTGGGGTTATCAGAGGAAACCCAAGTGCTCTTTCTAGTGTGATTCAATTCCCTCAAATCTTTGTTTTCATAAGATATATTTTCATGAATCGCACTGTACTACCTTAAAACAGTCTGAGAGGAGCAACTTAACATTTTACTACCCTGTCTCTCTAGTTGAGCCTGGAAATGTGCTCATTGATGAGTACATCATTATCATATAGAGTAATACAATATATGTAATTATCTAATATGTAAATATGTTTGTTGCATACTTTATTTATTTGAATGTATAATTTTCAGAAAAATAGGAAAATGCATATTACTACAGTTGATATATTGTTGTATGTGCGATATATGTTTTTTAATAAAAAGGTGACGAAAATGAACAAGTGTTTGGCATCATTGTATGAACTATGTCAGCGGATTTGGCACTGATGCAATAGAGTGTTAGAAATGGCATGAAACTTGTAATAGCTTGTTGTAGTACAAATAAGTAACAGTAGGAGGAGCTGTCTGATATCTAAACATAATGCACGGTCTGCGAGTCAAACTCACTAACACAGTTAATACAGAGAATGTTAGTATCAGTCATCATGCTGTTCTTTAGGAATAAATGCACCAAAAAGTCTTTTTTAAATGAACTTACGTTAGGAGTTTACGATTCACTGAAACTACACATATGTAAATAAAGGCCAATATAATCAATTGCACCTTAAACCACCAAACCAGAACAATAAAAGCAAAATTGTTGATGGTAATAAATGAATTGAACTATTTTAGCTCCAGTACGGGCATACATGAGAATTGCTATAGCAACAGATTTGTGTGCAGTCTGCCTGCAGATTGGTGTCAGAGTCTGCTGCACTCCCAGCCACACACAAACATGCAGGCAAAACATGCTGAGACATTACCCTCAATTGATCCGGGACAGGAGGAGGATTCTGGTGAGGGCTTCCTAAGAGTCTTGGCAAAGGAGAGATGAGAAACACTACGTGCCCTGAGGACACAGCCTGCAAAACAAACAGAAACCAGAGCTCATGCCTGTCATCCTAAACTCTCTAGAAAACGGTTTTACCCTAAACGTTTGCAAGACTGCTTTCGTTATCATTTTAGGGGCATATTGAAAAACAACATCAATGTGATTTCTGGGATTATATTTAACAGATGATTTTTGCAGAGAGATTTTAAATGACAGAGTTTAAAAAGTGCTGCAACAGTGGAGACATTCCCATTAGGCATGAGTAAAGGATTTTATTCAACAAAAAAGTATTTAATCTTAATTTCCCATATGCCAAAAGAGCCACTAAAACATGTTTCTCTCTCAGACCTTGCATTTTGAGTCATGATTCAGTTTCCTCTTTAAAGACTGTGGGCAGGACACTGTAAAGCCACAGGCTGACAAGTGTTTCATGTGGCCGGAGGAATAGGCTCTGCTGAGTCAATGCAGGAAGATGAGTGCAACTCAGAAAGGCTTCTGCCATTTAGCTTGCCCTCTCTGTCTGTCTCACCTGCCCACCGGTTTGAAACTGGTAGCTGTGGGTGGAATTGAAGATGAATCGGAGAATCTAAATTGGGAACATGTGGGCTTCTATAAATGTCACTCATTCTCATATGCTTGCTGAGTAAACGAACAAGACATTTACTTCTTTTTTTTTTGTCAGCTGAATTGGCAGTTGTGTGTTAGCAATGTGATCCTGCGAAATTGCAATTATTTCAATTATTTCAAAAAGGTCTAACATATTTAAAACCTAATGCTTTTATCCTATGAAGTACTGATGAAGACTCACAGTTTCACTGAGTCATATGGTAACCTGAATGAAGTTCGATATTTGTGTCATTAATAAGCAGTTGCAATAGATCATTTGATGAACCAACTATTTATTTGTCAAAGATACATTCACAGTTACATTCAGCTATAGACACATAGACACCATCATAGGTATTCGGTGGCTTCCCTAAAAGGAAAAGGCTGTTTTATATGGATTTATATTTGTGATTGAGGTGGAACTGAAGATTTAAGACACTTTCATGTAGTATTTGTATCATTTGTGTTATTTATTGGTTGTGAAAATGGGTGTTTTGAGAGCTCTTTGCCGCATCATTTTTTATCTTGTTTTTTATGTTAATGTAAGAGGTTTACTTTTGTCTGTCTTACAAATGTTTTAGCATAATGGTACCTCATTGTTTTATTGGTTTAACACTTATTTCATGACACAATAAATAACCTCTGGTATTATATATTCACATTGACATTTACAACTGGTCTTTTTTAAATAGCGCAATAAACGTTTCTTAGTGTATTTAACCTTTCCCGTAAAAAGCAACCATGATGTCATGTGTTTCATTAAGCAACTTTACTTATGCAAAGAATGTCATCATCGTTTACTATGAAAAACATTCAGGTGCTGCCATTGGTCGATCGCAGCTGTCAATCAAATAAGTGTGTGCGTCATTTCCGTTGTCAGGTGGTGCTGTCGCTGTGGAAAGATGCGATCAGCGAAGAGCGGAGGCTTTTCCTTAATTGCTCATTTCGGTAACACAGGCTAAAACAACCCCGAAACCAACCCTCTGTGGTCGCTCCTGTTTAAGCGAGAAGCTCCGCGCATCCACCACAGCGTGTACCCAAGAAGTATCCATGTTGTAAGCAGACAACGCAGAGTTTACCCGGCGGTTTCGAGGTAAGCGAGGAGGGAGACTACATTGCTATCTAGCTTTCTGGCAAAGCTAGCCAGCTGTAATGTTACCTACTTTGTTTAAATGGCCTCCTGGCTGCTCTGTAGCCTCCGGCTGGGTTTTAAGCTAACGTCACACGCCAGTAATAATGTTAAAACACATATGGCACGTAAGAAAACATGCTAAAGTAGCCGTAACCTAGCTAACGGCTGCTCTGTGTAGTTTGCACCGAAAACCCAACTCCTTGTTTTTGCCCCTTTGTGTGGCCGGTGTGCCTGGAGCTGTGGTCTTTATCCGAGCATTTCAGTCCGTTTTGTTGACTTACTAAGTTTGAATGTGCACTCACTCTTGTTTTTTAATGTCCCCCTACACAAATATGCATCGTATAAAGATGTATAGGTTTGTTTTTATTGAAATAACCACCTCACTCAAATGTTTTTCTCAGCGACGTTAACGCACGCTGTGTAAAGCGGTTTAGCGTTGGTGTCCTTTTAAACTACTCCGGGTGGTCAAATTACAATCGCTGTGGGCAAAACACATTAGCACCTGGCTATTTCAAGTTATCAACTGTATGTCTGGTGGTTCTGCACAAGTTGTAAGGCATAACGTCAGCGTTTTACTCTACGTCTCGTCTCGTTTTCACTACACGCTGCCAGAACTGAACGGTGTCCAAACCTTGTGTTCGCAAAAATAGCACCAATTAATATTTAACAGTCTGTGTGCATTTGTAATTACATTGGTTTAGTAATGGACAATTATACCTTGTATAAAGAGACTTGTTGGGCGACCATGTTATTGAAATGTAGTCAACACAACTGCACTAAGAGGTAGGCTTGATAGCGGTAGATGTGTGTAAGCTGACATGAATGATTGACATTTAATTCAGGCAGCAGGTTTAAAGCCTGTATGACCTTCCAGTTGCTCTACCTCTTTGTCCTGCTTTTTGATCTATTTGTGGATACATTGATTTGGATCACACTTTCTCTCTGGCTTTATGATCGATTCACTTTCATGTTTACTCCATGCTCATGTGGCCCTATGCTTTCTTTGTCCATCCTGACACTACATTAATTTTGCAAGCTGTTTTTGCAGAGCCAGACAAGTAGCATGGAGTCTGGGTGGGTGGACCTTGAGACACCTACGTGGTTGTTTTGTTCAGATACTATTTAAGGAGCCCACATTTCTCGTGGGCACCGGCAGCGTGTCTCTCCTCCTTTTGTGTGATATGATTCAGAGGCTGTATCTGTTCTTGTCCTCCCTCTGGTACAGTCAGAGGCAGAAGCAGTCTTGCTTGCCAGATCACTGGCTGTGCAGAGAGGCACAGCAGTGTCAGAAAAGGATAGCTGTGTGCTGTCATTGCACTGATGTCATTTAGGTCATTGTGCATTAGTTGGTTGCATTGACCTTTTGCATTTGAGATGTGTCAGGGGTTGGCTCCACACTGCAGTTAGACGGTAGATAAATGGCATTGGATCAGTTTGCTGTGTATTATGCAGCTGTATACAAATCTGAAATACTGTATATTAATCTGGCAGCATTAGAAGTGTACATTGTGCCAAGCACTTTGGTCATCAGTTGAAAAAAGTGAATCATTTTCTTCCCATGCCTCCTAAATTGCATTAGCTGATTAATCCCTGATTTGCCTTTCATGCTCTAGAGCAGGGGTTCCCAACCCCCGGTCCGCGGACCGGTACCAGGCCGCGGAGGTGTTACTGCCGGGCCGCGAAATAGCTGTGAGTTTATCGTAATATTTGCAGAATTATAAATATATAAAAATAATTTTCGCACCTATACCAGTGATATTATTTCATCCAGTAGCCTAGTTAATATTTCACTAGAAAACCGTTGAAAATGGCTTTTATGATGTTCCGAGGGATTCGGCGGCTCAGGGTCTCAGCCTCTCGTGCGCACGAGAAAGTTACCGGTGCGCCAAGTAGGAAGAGGAGCGCACAGGAGACAACCGTTTCATTGCTGACTGTTATGTTTTATGTGGGGAAATGGCAGTGCATACATTATTTGAGATATATTTCAACTTTCGGACTTCATTTGAAGGACATGTCGGCTAGGGGTGTAGAGCCATTTGTTTAAGCACCGGATTGGCAAAACAGGAAAGTAAACCAGTCTGCCTTGATCTATGAATTAATGTCCGGGACTCTCACGGTATCTGCTGCCCACAGCTGTTTGATAGAAGGAAAACCTCCTTCACTTCATGAAATGGCTGCAGCAGCGGGACGTATACTCCGCCTCTGAGAAGTGCAGCACCAGCCAGCGGGTAAAGATGTTCCTTTTTACGCACCGCCTTCGCTGTGTTTACCTTCATCAGAACAGCGAGTGACTGCAGGCTGCTACGTGTTAACCACACACATCTCTACACACATCGAACTGCCCGATTACTCCCTCTTTTATTATTTTTTTTAAGGAGATGTCCAGTCACCAAGGCGCATGATGTGTGTGTGTCTGTCCGACACCGGCATTTGTTTTCAAATGACCATGAACAGTAATTTACACACATCTGGCTAACTCCATAGGTAGCCTGTATGCGGGGGGTGTTCCCAAAATAAATTAGGCCTAGTTTAATCTTAATCTCGATGTAGTGCGAAATGCTGTCGAACGTCACTATCATAATATCTTCTGAAAACAAATGCCAGTCTCTCTCTCACACACACACACACACACACACACACACACACACACACACACACACGGACATTTCCTTCATAATGCACCTTCTCCTCGTTTTCCCAGCATTCACTGGATTATCCGTAAATCATACAAACAAAACCAAAACGTTGATTTATCTGTTTTCCCGTTTTGGTTTAAAAACCGAATAACATCGTTTTTTTTGGTTTTCAGTTTTTCCGAAAAAACGACACCGCTTCTTTTTTAAACGTCGTTAAACTGTTTTGGATGCATATTGTTCTAGTATTTGTTCAGGATGTTAGCCTCTGTTGCTACCTGCTGGTGGTGAGTAAATATTAAAATCAGTTAAAATTGACAACCGTTTCGCGATTTATTTATTTTTAACGTATCTGCCGGTCCTTGGCACAATAAAGGTTGGGAACCCCTGCTCTAGAGAGTACGATGCTCTTACTATTGGCAGCGTGACTTGGTGTCACTCTGGCTTGTGCCATAAATGAAAACCTCAGCTCTTCAGACTCAGTGGGTGACGACGACTAGTAGAGATGGAGACAGATGGGCGAGAGACATGATGATGACACTGTCTGCTGTCTGGGATCACAAAAAGCCTCATGGAAGTGAGAATTCATACCAGCCCATACTGACTGCCAACTGTCCTGCCTCCTCTCTGCCCAACAAACGCCAACTGGCGAGTGGCGCACGATTTTAGGCTTGAGACGGGAACATGGCTAATTCATTAAAAAGATTCAAATTCTGTAGTTTCATTTTCTGAAATGTTTTAAGCCTCGTAAGCTCTCCACCTAAAGTCTTGTTAGTGGTTTATGAGGTAGTTTCTAATGTTATTAGTCTGAAGTAGCTCTCCTGGGAAGTTGGCTTAAATGTGCACACCGCCGCTATCACACTGGCAGTTTTACACATATGTCACTTTTCTGTTGACTTTCATGTTGACATAACCTTTATGAAGGCTTGGGGCATATTTCTCTCACTCTAAGTGTCATTACCTGGGAGTTTAGGACATTCTTTCAACCGTCCAATAGAAACTCAGGACGACAGCATGGTGACTCATTCCTCTCGGTTCAAGGCACTACTTCCCTGTTACGGGAAACAGATGGAGTTTCATCACATAGGAACTCAGTGTCAGTAAACAAAGCATACCTATTGCTCTTTACATTTGGCAGTCGATCTGCTGTGGTGGCGGTTAAAGTAGTGGTTTAATGATGTGTCACACTTTGTCACTGGTTCTCCTGGCACGTGAATCTAGTTCCTTATCATAGTCTAAGGGCTTGGCATTTTTTTGTTTAGGCCTTGTTCGAACATGCATGTCCTGTCAGAGGACGGTCTGCGCAGATAAGCCGGCTCTACAGATTTTCAGATCAAACACACAGATTAAGGATTTTTCTAAACCCATGTCCACTGCAGTTGGAAAGCTGGAGATGTGTTTGTGGTTCAGTGCTAAGACTGTAATAAAAAATGCTTTTGTTTAAAGAATGTTGTACTGGTGCAATGCGTTTACATGACAGCATTTGCCATTAAAATGCAGATGGTGGCTCATTCTCATCGCCTGTTGGGGAGATTGAATCTGAGGTGTCACCCTTGACGCCAGCAGCCATCATTCTGAATGGAGCCGTAATGGCCTCGCATTCACACTGAGGTGTTGTTAAATGTGTGGGAGGGTTATTTAACATAGGCTGGGAGGAGCTGCCCTGAGGTTTACCTCCTTTCTCTTCACCGATCAGTGCAGTCCAGCCTGGAGTATTACTGCTGAAGCTCTGGGTACAGGCTTTATCTTGAAACATACTATTTATAAAACCATTGTTTGGTTACATATCACTGCTGCTATGTGTTGTTATAAGTTCACAGTTTGTGTCCTTGCAGTCACGTGTATTCAGTTACTCTTTAACTAATCTAATCTGATGTTTTTCCTCCTGTAGAGCTCCAGTATGTCCAAGCGGCGCTCTTCGGAGAGGGGGGCTGGAGAGTCATCAGGCAGGGCCAGCAAGCTGCAATGTCCTGGGATATCCGGAAACAACGCCAAGAGAGCTGGGCCCTTCATCCTCGGTAAGGAAGCTGCTAGTGTTTGCACAAGCCCCAAAAGTATGGACTCTAAAATGTCTCTTGGTGCACGTTTGTCCCCATGTGCAACTTGTGCACGTTTGTCCCCATGTGCAACTTGTGCACGTTTGTCCCCATGTGCAACTTGGGATTGTGCTGGAAATCTGGAAAGGTATTTTGGTGTGAGTGTGAGAGTCGTGCGGTGTCTCTGTGTGTACGCACGCCTGAGACAAGAATGTGAAGAATTTAGCTGATCTCCCTGAATTCAGCCAGAAAGTTCTAAGTCTGTGTTGGAGCAAGGTTATTTCCTCCTGCTGGATTAAATGTCCCTCCCCCTACTCTCAAACCTGTATGTTTTCTACTACACAACTCCTTGACTATTTGCAATGCAGAGTGCCAAAGACAACATAACACTTTGGGTGTTAATGGATACGAGCACATGTAGTCTTTAATGAGTTGCAGTGAGAGCACACACTCCAGCATGTTGCCTGCCTTTTGGTCATGCAGCTGTTCCTCTTCTCATCCTCTGCAGGGCCTCGCCTGGGCAACTCACCAGTGCCCAGCATAGTGCAGTGTCTGGCCAGAAAGGACGGCACGGACGACTTCTATCAGCTCAAAGTAAGTCTGTCAGGCTTGGCGTATTCTTCATTCTTTCCTTTTTTACTGTTCATTAAACATATCATTCACGACAAAGTTATGAAGTCCCAGCGGACATCTGAACCTTTGACCTTCCTTATTATTGTTCATTTTATGGCCTCCTGTTTCAGTCTGGTGCAAACAAAAAACCTTAGCGGGGCAATGTGTTTATTGGGGCTATCTAATGTCTGTTGCACTCGGGAAGGAGCTGTAGCAGTGGGGAAAGGAAGGTAGTGCCCCACCTGGAATGTCTACTTGTAACCCCCACGACCATGCAGTGAGTCAGTGTGTGACCCTCCCCTCATACCAATGACTGCAGCGCCTCAGTGTCTGCTGCACAGCTTGTTTGCTTCACATTAGTATATGAGCTATTTTTTTATTTTAAAGCTGCATAACTGCTATAAAATGTTCATTTGAAATGAAACTTGCTGTCATGTCTTCACTCATTTTTACTGTGCTCTGTCAGGAGCGTAGATTAGCTTCATACAAAGTTAAAGCTGTTTTTCCGCGGTCTGATCCTGTATGAGCTCCTGTCTTGTGACCTCTAATGTTTGCTCTCTTCTCGTGTGTGCTTTCTGCAGATCCTTACGCTGGAGGAGCGAGCAGACTCTGCAGGGGAGACTCAGGAGGAGAGGCAGGGGAAAATGCTGCTGCACACAGAGTTCTCCCTCCTTTCCCTGCTGCATAACCAGGATGGGGTGGTCCACCATCACGGCCTCTTCCAGGTAAACACCTACAAACTATTTCCAATAAAACTACATTTCTGTAAACAGGGGCATGGTATATCATCAGTCTTAATAATTAGTTTATGGTGCATTTTCTGGGCGAGTATCCTATATGGTTAGACATGATAAATACACCAACATTACCATGGAGAACTTTCAATTGGTCACTATTGGCGCTTTTCCACTGCAGCACGGTTTAAGCAGGCCGGGCCAAACCAGGCCTGCTTTTTTTGCTTTTCCACTAGGGGTAGTTCTGGCCCAGGGCTACTTTTTCACCTTTTTTCTGGCCCTCCAAAAACGAGTTTCTTACCGGGCCAACAACCGGTGACGTAAACACTCTCGACTGCTGAATGGTCAGAGAATCGTTGGCAAGGGGGCTACAACTACAACCAAATGAACATATTTTACCGTGATTTAATTGTGATACACATTTCAAAAATGATGCGGAAGTAACAACAAACTGATACCGGTTATTAAACCCATGAATTAAGTCTGCAGACAGACGGCAGGCGAAAAACCTTTTTAAAATGCGTGTTTTCTGAATGGAGATCGGATCGATCAGGCTAAGCTAACGCAGTATATGCTCCGTCCAAACTCACGGCCTACAGACATAAATAAACCAGCGACTGTATTCACCATGACACACAGTCTGTGGTTTGTACTTGTTCAACATTTGTCCAGTTTCTGAACAGATATGAGGAGCTGTGAGCTTGAGTGCTAACAGCTAACGGCTTTGTTTTGGTGTTGTGGTTCGCATTGAAGATGACATCACAGCAGTTTTACACAGCGAACAGCCAATCGCCCCACCTACACTGCGTTACTATAGTTACTACCCCTGTTACTAAACTTGAGCCTGGCCTACCAAGGCCTAACCATAAGCTGTGCTAGGTCCTGCAGTGGAAAAGAGCCATAAGTGGTGTCACTGTAAGAATAATATTAATTTGTCCAACCAGCTGCTTGCATTGTCCATATCAGGGTTGTTTAGGCACCATTTAAGAGCCATATTTATCTGCAGTCATCTCTATTTACAGCCCCATCCATTCACAATGACCCCCCCTTCACCTGTATTCCCGTCTGACTCCTCCTCTAACCATTATTATGCCATCTCTCTAGATCTCTCTCTGTTTTTTATTCTCTCTATCACATCCTGTCTTTTCCACTGTCCCGGTGTTCTCAGAATAGCAGCCATGCACTCCGATTCATTTAGACCAGCCATATTGATTGGGTTATTATAGAGCATCTCCACCCTAAGAGGACCAGTTAATACGTGTACGCTTTCAGAGGTGCCGACTGCATCTGAAAAAAAAATACTGACAACTTGATACAGAAATCAATAAGAAGTGGTGACTCCGCTAAGACGACTGGAGTTTGGACGAAGAGGAATGACCTTCCACCACCCGGTGTGGAGGGGTGGGTGTGTCTTATTCATCGGTTACATGCAGGCTGCAGATTGATGGCCGCTACTCTGCATGAATCTATGGCTTTCTAAGCTGAATGAATCGGTTTGATCCGCCAGCATGGTACAGGAATCCATTCAGGTTGATGCATTCATGTATGCCTCAACCTATATCGATCGGACACTGTTGGGAAGTGCTTCTAAAATGCATCATCAACAACAACAACAACAACTCTTGTCTACCTACAAAGTGAGCCTTTTTCTGGAGATTGCTGCTCACCCTTCTTTTTGTTGTTGTTCCCCAGGATCGTGCCTACGAAATAGTGGAGGACATGGAGGCCAACAAGGTGCGAAAGATGAAGAAGCGGATCTGCCTCGTGCTTGACTGCCTGTGTGCTCATGACTTCAGCGACAAGACGGCAGATCTAATAAACCTCCAGCATTACGTAATAAAAGAGAAGCGGCTGAGCGAGCGCGAGGCCATCGTCATTTTCTACGATGTGGTGCGTGTCGTGGAAGCCCTTCATAAGGTGAGTCTATGATGGCATTTGATTCACTACTCTAAGAAACAGTGGACTCAAATAAATTCAATTGACATCAATGGATACTATGTTTTTGTCAACATGGAATAAATCCCTTTTGATATTGTTAGTTAGTTGCTAGGGCTGCTCAATTACGCAATTACGATTATGAAAACAACATAATAGAAATAAAACTAGAGATGATCCGATCACTTGATTTTCAAAAGATCGGAATCGGGAGAAAAAAATCGGGGATCGAGAATAAAAAATAAAATAATGTTTATATAAAATATTTTTATTATTTTATTTAATGTTACAAAACAAAAATGACCATGTTCACGTCTTAGTCATCCTGAGGACTTTGTTGTGGTTTAAAATAACACAACATCATGTATGTGTTGCTTCTTTTGGGCTTGTTTTCAGACCTGGTTGCTTTTCCTCTCAAAGCAACAGAGTGGGCGCAGTGTCTAATAGTAGCAGTAAGCTAACGAGAGGCTACGTTCAGCCGGTGACTCGGGAGTCGGCACAGAGCAAATGTCAGGAGTTTGGAAGTATGATAAAATTGAAAGCGAAGGCAGTGTAACAGCCAGATGCAATGTTTGCAAGGCGGAGGTTCCGCGTGGTGGAAAGAACAGAGCTACGTTCAACACGACCAATCTAATACGCCACCTGAGAAACAAACACCAACAACAACACGACGAGTACACAGCGGCCACTCGGGTAACGGCACAGAAACAACCGACACTTTCAGAGACTTTGAAAAGGAAAGAGAAACTGCCCCAGAACAGTGAAAAGGCCAAGAAAATATAAAATGCATCGCGTTGGATGACCAGCCGTTATCTGTTACCTTTTTTCTCTCTTAATGCGTTGCATAAAGATCGGATCTGGAAAAATCGGTATCGGCAGATTGTCAATCAAATGATCGGAATCGGATCGGGAGCAAAAAAGGTGATCGGGACATCCCTAAATAAAACGATTATTTATTTTATTTGTATTTATTTAATTTTTTATTGGTTTTTCAGTAGAATTATTCTTAAAGTTCAAAGTAATCAACTGTTAAAAACACACTTTTCCAAAAAAAAAATGCAATAAATGGATGTTTTCAAAGTAAATGGATAATCGTTTTTGATAATCGTGATATCAATTATTGACCCAAATAATCGCGACTATGATTATTGCCATAATCGAGCGGCCCTACTAGTTGCACATTCTTCCTGATTACTCATCTCCCATGCCTGTGTGTCAGTCTCTAGAACAAACCAATTGTTGTGATACCAATGATTCACCGAGCATGACCTGACCAAACCTGTGCTGTCTTTTCTGCATGCAGAAAAACATTGTGCACAGAGACCTCAAGCTGGGAAACATGGTGCTGAACAAACGGTAAGCTTTAACTCATTCTCTCACTCGGCGAGGGCAATAACCCCTCCCACTACACCGGGTCATTCATTTGATTCTGCCAGTCAGTCATTCTGTCTCCGCTCACATGTACGACGGGCCACATCCGTCCCCAGCAGCTTGTATCCGGTGTGCATTTGACTTTAAACCCAAGCAGGGGTCACATTCTCAGACTAAGAGTGAGATCAGTTAAAGAAACCTAAAACCCTGTGAGTCTGGGCCGGTGTCTGTGTGTTGCGTAAAAGCTGATGATTCATTACCCGTAGTTGGATTTTTGGAAGCAGCGGGTAAACTGGACATGGGTGCAAAATGGAGCGAAGAATACGCTACTGCTTTGTTTTCAGTGGCAGAGTGAGCAATGTTGTTCAGCACTTCAGATAGACCCTGCTGAATGGAAACCACTCATCTGTAAAACACCATACGTACAGTGTACGAGAGAGGTGTGTGTTCAAGGGGCGGAAGCCACACTCGCGGTGTGACTTCTGCTATTTTAGCATTTTCTTGCCTTTTTGTTATATTTTTTTAAGCCCAATTTGAGATGATTTGGATAGATTTAGCTTTGAAGTGACGTTTGCAGAGTTTTGCATGCACATTAATGGAGACTCTGATAATCATCCCACAAAGACTTTTTTGGAAGGGACATGACTAACAGTGAGACACACACTCTCTTTTCCTACGCTTGCTACACACACCTTCGCAGTCAAACATTGAATATGCTTGCATCACACACATGTGAGTCTAATTATATCATACATTATCTGCAAGTGTGAGCACATGCATTGAAATGTCACGTTCTCGGCTCATATCTTTACCACATACACACGCATCAGAGCCCATTGACCCCCCCCCCCCCCCAGCAGCAGCAGCAGCAGCAGCAGGAGTAGTGGTGGTGGTGGTGATGAAACAGGAGAGTGTTTTTGGCCAGAGGAGGGTGGAGAGGAGCAGGCGAGCGGAACACTCCGTCCCAGCTGGAGACAAAGGAGAGGCCTGCCAAAGGCCCCATAGCTCCGAGCTGACTCACACTGCAATGCACATCACTCTCTCACACACACACACACACACACACACACACACACACACACACACACACACACACACACACACACACACACACACACACACACACACACACACACACACACACACTCATTATTTATGCATTTACCCTTTACTCTACTTTTTTATATTTTTCTTTTACACCCCGATCCCCTTTCCTGCTTTGATTGTTTTTTCTGTTTTATGCTCTTTGTCATTTTTTTCTCTCTTCACCTCCTCCCCTCTCCTCTTATGAATTACACTCTGCTTGCGTGCACGTTTCCTCTGTCACTCCACCCGGGATGTGTATGCAGTACGGGAAGGATACGGTCAATTTTAGATGCAGACCGATCCCAAAATCCCCCCTCCTCACACGGCATCAACAACCTCAGCAGTTTGCACAAGAGTGATGTGATTTCCTCTTGCAGAGCCAGCTGTTATGAAAGCAGGATGTCATAAATCAATCTGCTAGCTTGTTGTATGTCAGAGCTGTGTTGACTTAAATGTAAGGAGAGACATTACAGCAAGGTGTTTTGATTAGTTTTATTTGTGTATGTTCCAGAGAGCTTCTGTTGGCGCTCAGTATTTGCTGTATTGTCTCAGGGATGGATTGCCCTGAGTGAATCAGAAGTCACGTGCTGTCTGGCACAAATAAGTCTTTCTGGAACTATCTTGAAAATGTTTATCCTACATTGCTGAGCGAGGGAATTATACTTGACAGGCAGTAGCCACCATTCAATAAGCCAAGCTTAGAAACTAGAATATTGCAACTGTAAGTTTGGGCACAAGTGTAACCCTCCAAATGATGCTTCTGAGGAAGTGAACTGTGGAAGTTGCCCTGCGTTTAACCTCCCTTCTCCTCAGCTTGTGTATTTTCAGCAAAAAATGTTGCGGGAAGGGAGGCAAAATCATGGAGGCTGTTTAGGTTTCTGGTTTCCTGACTTTCCCGGAGTCACATGACCAGGAAGCAGAGATGGTGTGGTCGCTCTTCAGTCCTCGGGGACCCTTGCCTCACGAGGCAAACATGCAATTTAATTTACCCAATCTCCGGTGCACGAATAGAAGCCTGGGTCGTGATGCGCACAGACAAAAGCACAGGCTCCTCTATAAAGGAAGCTTTTATGTCGAGGGTCCTTGAAGCACTGCACGCTGTTCTGGCCAATCTGTGTGCACATCACAAGGCCACTGTATGGTTGTATAGACTTGGAACACGGAAGCTGTTGGAAGGGCTGGATCACATAAGTAGCTGGAAATGATGTGAACCGAATGTTCTGAGGGACTTTGGAGATTCAAGCCTTTTGGTTGAATGTTGAGTGTTTGACAGAAATTGGCTCCAGACGCTGTAATGGGAGCAGTGAGTGAGTGTGTGATGGAGCAGGGTGTGAAAGTGAGAGAGAATAGGGGAAGCTGTTGACCTCATGCTTTTTAGAAAGCGGATGTGGGTGAGCAGCGTGTTATAGAGGACCCGGGCTCTAGACCGTGCAATAATGTGCTTTTGAGTGCCTTTTTCGTGTGCGTGTTCATCATGGGACTGATTGTGTGTGCACTTGAAGTTTGTGTACATATTTTAAATCTTCATGAGCTTTCCATACTCGTTTGGCAACCAATCACTATGCAGGCTTAGTCATCCAGACAATTATCTCAAGCCACAAGTTGACTCATATGTTTGTCAAAGTGCAACTTTTGATTTTCTCTCTCCCTGCTGAAAGAGCACACTGATATAGAAAGGTCCATAGTCCCTCGGCTTAATACGGACACGGTTTAGTCCAGAGGCAAACCACATGTACCTTAATGAGTCGGAGAAAAATGTCATAGCATCACGTTGCATCCCATGAAATCAATCAAATATCGCTGGTAACCTCAATGCGTCTTCACATGCATTTCACTACAGGGGAACATACAAGGATCTACTAAATCAGAGTTTAGGAAATGACCAGCAACTTGACTCCAAATACACCGCAGAAAGATGAGAGACTCCCTTCTAAAAGGACTGGGTGTGCGTGTTCAGTTTTGCATCTGGCAGTCATGAGATACTGATGTAATGTAAAGGCCCAGTGACCCATGAGATTATCAAAACAACAAGGCATGCTAGCAAGTTCTCCCCGTCTCTGTCGTCCTGTGTGCACTTAATGCTCTGAGCGATGAGTGTGCAGTGTTTCACATTCCAAACTTACATTGGTCATGATGAGTAAGACTGTTTTTGCTTTTGTTGGATCAAATCAAAGGGGAGAACACTAGGAGTGTGCTCATCAGAGTGGGGATATTAAGGTATTTTGAAACTGAAGCATATCCTATATTTAACATGCTTGTTTGTGTGTGCTTGCAGGACTCACAGAATCACCATCACCAACTTCTGCCTGGGAAAGCACCTGGTGAGCGAGGACGACCTGCTGAAAGACCAGAGAGGCAGTCCGGCCTACATCAGCCCCGATGTGTTAAGTGGTAAGAAAATAAAACGGTTTTTTTAAAGTGCATTTTCGTTTCATAAGGCAATATATGTATAAAGCAAGATGCTTCGTAGTCGGAACAGTTTAGAAAAGCTGATTTTGCTCATGGGTGGTCCACATCGACCCCACATTGTCCCCCAAAACAATCCCACAGTCTCACTTGTTTTTGCAGCAACTTATTTTTGCACAGGTGTGAAAACCTTCCTCATTTCCATCGATTCGCCACCTTCCACTTTAGGATTTGAAATGGAACTGTAAAGTGTATTTACTACAAGTGAAAAATGTTCATTTGTATTTAGTTATACAAAATGCAAGACCTTGTTCTGCTTAGAAGAGGGGTCCTTGTTGGTTGTTATGTAAGCAGTCAGTCTTGTGTTTGATTTTCCTGTTATTGGGTAACAAGAAAGGGTTCATGTTGCAATCTTGGACTGTCAAAAGCTAGGAATCGTTATTTTCCTTCATAGGTTTGTGTAGTCACGGTGATGTATTTCTCCTCATTTGCAGAGGAAGCTACTTTCTTCTTTGTGTGAAAAATGTTCTTTGTCTGAGGGAAAAAAAAGCCGAAATCCCTTTTTTATTGTTTGGCTTCACAAAGCTTATTTGTCACAGTAAATGTGCAGATCTGAGCGCCAATCAGGCCGAGGCTTGTGCACGCACTTCAAATGCCAATCCGTTTAATCATTGATTTCCAGAACATCGTCCTGGACAGTGTACAAGATCGAGGGGAATCATTTCCAACAGAAATCGTTTAGCTCCAACCACTCAAACTGTAGATGGAACCCGGGCGTGTATATCAGCATAACGTGACAGGCACACAATTAAACCGAGCTTCAGTGACTCACGCACTGATGACTCACTGGAGGGAAACTACTCCCATCTACCCCCTTCCCTCCCCTCCCCATCCCCCGCCTGTGAGTGTGTGTCACAAGCTTTAACATAATTGCCTGCTGCTGTTGCCGCCTGGCTGTAACAACACTGCCTATGGTCATGCAGTTTATTCATAGCCGACCTATAGCTGATTTATTGTTTTAGGGTTGATTTAAAAAAACAATTCTCAGTTCTCTTATTTTAAAAGTCTATGAAATATGATGGATGTAGAGCAGGGGTGTCGAACACAATTTCATCACAGGCCACATCAGCATTATGGTTGCACTCAAAGCGCCGGTTGTAACTTTAAGACTATATAAAAAGACATATATAATAATGTATTATATTACATTATTGCCTCTGCATTGGATTATTATCGGATAGGGTAATAACTTCATAATTAACTACGTCTGAAAGCAGAAGTCTAGGGCAAATAAGTCACTTCAGAATATGATTATTAGGATTATTCACAATATGATTTTAAAAGAAAAGCCACATTCTGGAAAAACAAAAAGAAAGTAGTGACATTTTGAAAAAGAGAAGTGACATTTTGAAAAAAAAAATCTATTTATGAGAAAAAGTCTAATTTAAGTCAAATTCTGAGAAAAAATGCATATTGTATGTTGAAGAAAAAAAGTCAAATTCTGAGAAAGTCAAATTTGAGATGCATTGTGGGACATGTCGTTTATGGGCAACGTGCTTCTGTAAAGTAGCATGTAACCGTATAATAAACATATTATATTCTTTGCAAGCTCTTGTGGGGCCACATAAAATGAAGTCGCGGGCCGGATTTGGCCCCTGGGCCTTGAGTTTGACACCCCTGATGTAGAGTCATAGTGTTTGCTCATCGTGTTAATCATTAGACCTACTGACTTACAGGACTTGAACTCGTCTCAGGGTCAACCACCTCATGGGGCAAAAACTGTCAACACACAAATGTTGATTTAAAAAAACCGATGGCTTAATTGATTTTTGTTGTTAAGGCGCAGCAGCAGTGATCTTTGTGGTCTCCTTTTCAAATGACACATTTGTTGATCTCCTCTGCTTCCTGTCCCCAGGTCGGCCGTACCGAGGTAAACCCAGTGACATGTGGGCCCTCGGCGTGGTTCTGTTCACCATGCTCTACGGCCAGTTCCCATTTTATGACAGCATACCTCAAGAGCTCTTCCGCAAGATCAAGGCTGCTGAATACTCCATCCCAGAGTGAGTAGAGAGAGGAGATGAGAAGCAATGGAAAAACCTACAGCATTTCAAAAACATGAATAATTGTATACATGTTTTTATAAAATAGTTATTCAAGCCCATCATATTTTTTTCAGTATTTACCAAATTGTTATATTCAGTATGGATTTAAGAGACTGTCCTTGTAATCTTTCAACAGCTTCTTACATATTATCTTACCTCTATCCTCCTCTTCCTCTCAGGGACGGGCGTGTGTCGGAGAACACGGTGTGCCTGATCCGAAAGCTGCTGGTGTTGGACCCTCAGCAGAGGCTGACTGCAGGAGAGGTGCTGGAGTCTCTCAGCGGCATCATCGCCTCGTGGTAAGTGCTCCACCTGCTGGAAGTTTGAAACATTACATCATTGGTGTTGCTCGTCATGTTATGAGTTATTGTTTAATAGCTGAGAAATATATCTTCATTTTGTCTAAAATGTCCACTTTTTGTTCCAATTAGTTTTGAAACATTTCCACTGGTTGGCTTTACATTAATTAAAATTAAAAGTCCACCCATATAAGTACGTCGCTAATAGCCATACGGTGGCCATTTCAAATTGACGTCTCGTGGTGGTTAATCGGCATCTTTGTTGTGTTTTCCATATCACAGGCAGTCTGTGTCCTCGATGAGTGGACCTCTACAGGTGGTGCCGGATATTGACGATCAGGTCAATCACCCAGAACATCTGCAAGAGGTAAATGATTACAGATCTAAATATTTTGCTTGTTGGAAAGATCCAAAAAGAGCAATGGCTACATTTGTATTTTCCTCCATGTTTACACTTCTTTGATACGATTAGAGAGCATGTTATCAGCTCAGTGTTGCAGCACATTGAACGGACAACATTGTCTTCCCTCAGGCCAAGGCGATGGAAGAGTCTTCACAGTACGAGTTTGAGAACTACATGCGCCAGCAGCTGCTGTTGGCTGAAGAGAAGAACACTATCCACGAGGCCAAGAGCTTCCTCACCAAGCGGCAGTTTGGCAGCATCCCCCCTGTGAGGCGTCTGGGTCTCGACGCCCAGCCCGTCAGCCCGCTAGATGCCGCCATACTGGCTCAACGGTTCCTCCGGAAGTAGGCCAACCATGGCAGCCTCCCCCCCCCCCCCCCCCCCCAGGGAGCACAGAGAGGACTGAGGAGGATGAGCCCCTAAAAACTGAACTGGCATACAGGAGGCCCATCCTGATCAGGGTACAGACGGCCCCCATCTGGGCTTGTAGTAAGCCTGGTGGAGCAGGTTTGAGGAGGGCACCAGAACAAACTACTTACTTATTACTTCACTCCTCGTGTCTGGATGTTCCAGTGAAACATGGAAAGCTCCAGAGGAAGATCTGAGCCTAAGGATCCTTCAGGTCCCCCACAGTCAGATCTCACTGTGCAAACAACCCTGATGGTACAGTCCCACATGGGGCTTCAAAGGCTCTGAGTCGAAGAGACGATTACCCCCATATCCCTCCTCCCTTTGAGATCTCCCCACTTCCCCCATCAACTCTGGGTCCCCCAAGCAATACAGGACCTGAATCATGTAGCAACCCCCCCTCTCTTCCTCGTGGTTAATGGTATTGCCTCAAGTCAGATCTCCTGATCACAGATGTCACTTCTCTATACCTCCATTCCCCCCTCGCCCTCTCACTCCCCCCCCCCCCCCCCCCCCCCCCCCCCTCTTCCTGTCCTTTTTTCCTGTACCGAAAATGATCCAGACTGTTCCCGTCTGTAACTCTGACTTCAAATCAATCTACCTCTCTGTCTCTCTTCTCTGTTGGTAAACCATGCTCACTGTTCTGAGACAAGGGATTGTAACAATGGAGTCTTGATGCCACCAGTAACACAAAGCATTAATGTTTTCTGTCAGTGATAATGCTTAGAAACCTTCTCGAGTGGTTTCAAAAGAATCTGAATAAGCTTTTTATCATATTTTCCTGAACAAGTAGCATTTCACCCCTTCCTTTGGATTGAAGACACTGAATATCAAAGTATGTGTACATGCATGCTTTGGTATTTGCAGAATGCTTTTGCTCACCCCTGTGGAAATCTATTTTTAGCATCTAGGCAGCTAGTGTGAGGTACCTGGAAGTCACAATGCCAAGAACTGAATGGGAAACACTGTTGGATCCTCCCTGCCAAGGCATATTGATGGTAACGCTTCCTCGGTGCCATTATGGTGGAGATCATGTTTCTATTGCCAAAAATAATGTCTTAAAAACGACTCTTAGCCAAGGAAACCGGTACCCTCAGCCTCATTCAGAATCAAATGGCTTCCAGGTATTCCAACTTCCCTGTTTCTCTTTACCAAGACAGATCACGGGACAAGTGTTTTTCAGTATGAATGTGAACCGCCACCCTACGCTTTAATACGTCTCCATGAGTGTGCGTGTGTGTTTCAGCCGGGTGACATCAGAGTCTGCGTGGCTGTCGAGCGGGTCACCTCTGACAGCCACAGACCCCTTTTTTAAGCTATCCTCCAATCGTTGTGTTCTGTGATCTGGCCTGCCTCGGTGCAGACACTGTGAAACCCAGAGCAGGCTAAGCTGGGACGGGGCTTGACTGAATGTTTTAGCGATAGCCATGAATGCTTTCTTAAGATTGGGATATTCTTTTGCTCTTTTCAGGCCCTCTCTCCAGCTCAACTCTTACACGCGTCTATTATCTCACCATGTAGGCTCTATACAGATAGACTAGCTGGTGGCCGGTAATCCATACTGTAATACTTCATAGAAGAATTAAAATACAGACTCATAGATTTTAGGTTTGGTTGCTTGGCTACTAGCCTTCTTGTTTTGTATCAAAGAGTTTCTTGAAACCATGACAAAGCTACTAACCAGTGACTGTTAGGCATCTGTACACTGCAACCTGCCTTTTGCCATTGGTACCTGCTTCAGGCTCTCTACACTTCTTCCTATTTATAACGGATCACATGAACATAGGCTCTGGATTACTTTTCAAATGTCTTCACTTATTCTTTTTTCTTCTTTGTAATTTCATGTTGATTTATTTATTCACTTGTGTTGACCCCCCCCCCTCCAAACCACTGGGGCTTGTATCACAGACTAGGCACAACTAATGCCAGTGAAACAGACCCTAAAACCCTCTCAGCTTAAAAAAAAAAAAAAAAAGTGTTGTTAACTCCAACAGTGATTCTCATGTCCGATCCTCCTCGCCCACTTCCATGGAAGAGTAGCATCTGTTTTTGTTTTTCATTTTGGATTCATAAATAACTTTCTTGCCATTTAACCACATATCCTGTGGTCAACTTAAGCTACACTAATAACGAGACTGACATAGTTATATTTTTTAAAGAAAAACTAAATGATACTCGCACATTATCGTGAATGACGGGAGGGTTTTTTGTAGTGTTTTTCTTTCTGTCTACCATTTACCCAAAAATCCCAACACCAAGCTGCACTCTTTGGTCAGTATGTAAATATGTACCATCATGACTGCGTTAGTCATATTGTATGTAGTTTCACCCAGTGAGATACCAACTCGGTTTCAACACATGCCGAATGGCGTGCATTATAGGCCACGTTGGCCTTCAACCACCACATCCAGAGGCTCAAATGATATGTAAAGAGAGCTGTCGGCTTTCTCCCACCTCAATGTGAATTCCATGGGTATACAGCAGTATTGTAGTAGTCTAGGTTGTTCATCAGAAAAGGGTATTTCATGAACACCGTAGCCATTGCTGAATGCTGACATCAAGTGAACTGTGTGTCATCTTCCATGACGGCCAACTACAGATTAGTAACTACAGGTTTAATAGACCTTTGATGTAAATGTCATTTTGTCCCCCTATTAAAAAAAGAAAAGTGTTTCACCTTCTAACTAGCGGATTGTACCACATGCAATGTTTGTTTGACAGAGTTGTATTGATAGATGGCGATGTGGACTGAAAAGCATGAACATAGTGTGAGGTTCAACTCTGTGTAAAACATGTGACTGTTGCATGATTTTAAACTTGCAAGGTGTGCCAGAGCAGCTGATCGAGAATTAGAAGATCATTTCCCCCTTTTGTGTCCTACGGGAAACCACAAGGCAAAATAGATGAAGACCCTTAATTGGATGAGTAGTAAAATTGTATTTCTAATTTTCAAAATTTAAGTTTTATGATGATTTTCCCCGTGCTTCTAAAGTCCTAAGTCTTCAGTATATAACCAGTATATTGCTGACTGTTTCAACTGGAGTAGGATTGAAATGTGGTGTAGTTTAAACCCAATGGGATAATGTGTTGTAAGCTGCTTGGTCGGACATGGGCATCTAGATACAGGAACAACTGCGTAATTGTACAGATGATAAACACGTTTGTATAAAAAAACATATTTTTGTACTTCATCAGATCTCTACATGCATGTCAGCAATAAACTTTGATATGGAAACATTAACCTTTGTCATGTTTTTGTATTCTGACACTTTCTTTTACTGCCAGCAGGTGGAGCACTCCTGTTGAAAATGAAACCAACGCCAGCAGTAGGACCAGTGTAATAATACTTGTAGGGAATTGTAGGACATTTCACTGAATGTTCTTCTTTGTTGTCTGTCTCATGTGTCTTTCATACGTGCCTGATACGATCTACAACAAAAGGTTCAGTTGCTCATTATTCAGCCAGCTGTGTTTGAATGTTACGTCTTCTGAGGGTGATTCCTGTGTGAAGTATGAACATCAAAAATAATTATCGAGTGTCTGTGCGTCCATACCACCTCAGTCTTGCGGTGAGCGATACCGAGGTAGAGGTGCTCAAACAGGAAACCCCCTGCTGACAGCACTGGGGTCTGTGGGCTGCTCTGACAATCCCCCCATCTCACCTCAGGTCTTTCAATGCACACTCCACTTCAAGCAGGGCATTAACTCTCCACAAAATCATTTCATGCCTGCCAAAAACTATACACATGGAAAGCTCATCATATGCAGGCCTGATGGACATATTGGAATTCATCTGTAAAAATAAAAGTGCAAATGTTTTAAACAGACACTATGCAACCTTCTTTTGGGTTGTTTTTTTTAAACCCCACTGATACACACCTACCTGTACAACGTGGCTCCGCAAAGATTTTGAAGCAGAGAAGTGGCTCCTACCAAAGGGAATTACATCTTAAACTCTCAATCACTGTGGCATTATGAACAAATTATGAGATTAGACCTTGGACCCTCTTGTTATAGATTAGTTTCAATCTATAAGTAGTTACCAAAGGCCAACATGCTGTCCCGACTGAACAAAAGAATAACTGAGTTCTGAGTCATCTTTCCCACCGTTCTGAGATCCTGCAGCTTGTCTCCAGTGGATCTCTCTGGATCATTACACCCATCTCCCAACATGTCCAGCTGGGCGGAAAAGTCTCAAGGGTCAACGTTTCACAGATGCTTTGTCCCCATAAATCTGAACCAGCTGGCCTCGAGGAGGTCCATCCTGGATTCATGTGTCTCAAACAAACGATGGTTCATTAAAGACTACGTCAGACATCCGCGATGCTGTTGCCTAATTACCTCAGAGAGCATTATGTATTGAGTTTCCTAGAAGAAGAGTAGACCAAATCCAGTTGGATAGAGATGACAAAGGCTAAACAGGGATCCACTTTTCCAGATGTGTTTACTTGGAATTATTGTCATAGCTTTGAGTGTGCATACTTTACTGGCAGCAGTGTATTTAACTATTAAAACTGTATAAGATATCATTGATACGAGAGCACAGCTGCTTTGTAGTTATTGCTCTGTGTGTTTATGTCTGTCGGAGCGTGTGAATGTGACTCCAGCTGTGTCCAAGCTTTATTGCCCGAGCCCAGACCATACATTCCAGCAAACACACAAAACCAAAGTAGTAGATTTAATGTTCTTACGGCTGCATAAGAAGAGGACCCGGGATCAGATGATCTACACGTCAAAGGGTTAAAAATCAAATCCGTGTGGCTCGCTGTTGACGTTTAGCTGCTTGTGGAAATTCAATCTCTGGTCATGCTTCTACTGGAAGATGATCATACAGAGTCTAGTCCAGTCTTGAAACATGAAGAGGACAGCTTACACTCAATGACAGAAAAGAAAATTCAAGGGCCCTCTTGGTTGCAATAAACATCAAAACCCCACGAAATGAAAGAGCTGGATGTGAGAAACAAATTGGTGAAGTGCAGCGATTCATTTATTATAAACAATTTGACCCAAAAAGTGGTCCCCTACAGTACATGTATTTGCTAAATGTGTGCACTCTAGTAACAATTTCAGAAAATATCGTTAGATTCGAAGAAATTGTATTTGCAGAGTTGACCTGAGAGTTGTGCTGCAAAAAAACGTTTTTCCAAAGTAGAAAAGGTTCAACCTCAGAGGAGAATGATGGAGAAATCATATAACTATTTAATTAAATTTAATTTCAAACCTTTATTTAATCAGATTGGTCCCATTGAGATCATAGATCTCTTTTTCAAGGGAGACCTGCAGCAAATAGGTTCCACATGAAACATAAAACAATAAAGGACATCATACATTATATTTACAGGATACATTTACATAGTTATAGACATTTACAAGTGTCCATAGTATCAACAAGCATTTCATTTAGCCTAGCTTTAAAAACATGCAGAGGAATGAGATTGCTCAGTTTCAATTCTTGCTGAAGACTGTTCCAAGCAAGTGGAGCTGCGCACATAAAAGCTGTCTTACCTAAGACAGTCCTTGCTCTTGGCACATCTAACAATACAACATCATGCGATCTCAGACATTAGCTGCTTGCAACTCTCTGTGTTATCAGAGAGCAGATATAATACGGGAGTTTACCCAACAAAGCTTTATAAATAAACGTGTACCAATGACTGACTCTCTTTACAGTAAGTGATGGCAAACCTGCCTTGGCATACAGGGTACAGTGATGAGTAAGTGCTTTACAATTTGTGACAAATCTCAGTGCGCATTCATATACAACAAATCACCATAGTCCAGCACAGGTAATAAGGTCACAGTGACTAGCCTTTTCCTGGCTTCAAATGAGAAACCTAGTCTAACCCTCAGCTTTTTAAGCAGGTTATTGACATAGAGTTTAAAAGTAAGACAATCATCAAGACGGATACCTAGGTATTTATAACTGGTAACCACTTTGAGTACTTGTCCTTGCATAGTAACAATATCCAAAACAGGCTCTGGTGTCTTTTTAGCTTTAGAAAAGAGCATTACCTTGGTTTTATCAACATTTAAAAGAAGCTTAAGCTCAGCGAGCTGAGTCTGAATAATGTTAAAAACAGCCTGTAATTTAACACCAGCCTCCTTAATGGAGGGACCTGCACAGTACATCACGGTATCATCCGCATAAAAATGTAAAGTAGCTTCATCCACATTTTCACCTAAACTGTTGATATATATGGAGAATAAAAGTGGGCCTAAAACAGAACCTTGAGGAACACCATTAGCAATGTTCAACCACTCAGAAGACAGCCCATCAAAGTGAACACATTGGGACCTTTCAGAGAGGTAGTTCACAAACCAACCCACTGCATGGCTGGATATGCCAATACTGAGTAGCCTCTGCTTTAAGATGCGATGATCGACGGTGTCAAACGCTTTTGAAAGGTCAATATATAGAGCTGCACAACTCTGCTTATTATCTAAAATACTCGTGATGGCATTCACCACTTTCATTGTGGCAGTGATGGTGCTGTGTTGCTTTCTGAAGTCTGACTGATGTTTAGACAGGATATTATTTTTACATAAAAACTCCTTTACTTGTTCACTCACTAGGCATTCGAGCACCTTCGCCAGAACTGACAATTTTGAGATTGGCCTATAGTTATTTAAAATAGTTGCCTCCCCTCCTTTTAGCAAAGGCAAGACATAAGCTGACTTCCATACTTTTGGAATTGCATTTGTGCTGAGGGAGAGGTTAAAAAGAGTAGTGAGAAGAAGAGCAATAACATCTACAGCTATCTTTAAAAAGAAAGGTTCTACGTTGTCCGGGCCAGCCGGTTTCTAGATCAGGGATCTAGCACCCTGTGAAGCCTAACACATCAAATAATAGTCAGAAAATTCAACATTTTTTAAATGTAGGTGTTTATTGAACCTTTTAACAAAATACAACAACTAAATATTTGGTAATTATTTACATATATGATTTATTTTTTTTATCATATTTGATAAGTCAGTCCTTTATGGCAATGTATTGCACAACCCGAACCAACAGGCTGCGACAAACAAGGGAGATGCGTGCCACAACGTAAGGGGTGTTGTTGGGGAACTGCGCTCCTTGATCTTTTGGGGGTTCCAGCTACACTGGCCCAGGTGCCACCCGTGTGGCTGATTAGACGACAGCCCCGCCCACCTCCAGGAACCTGCTAAGACAAATACAAGCAGGCACCCTGGAGTGGGGCTGTCAAACATTTCAACTGATTTTGTTCAGTTTTTTTTTTAACAGGAGCCCTTTTACAAGCTCTACTTTGCCTTGTGGTAGGACAAAAAGCAGTTTCTGTCCTTGTTGAGGCACAGATGGACTTTACATTTCCCACAGTATACATGTGTGAAATGATTGCCTGTGCAGTGCTTGCATCTCTGTCGGGTTTCCCATGTTGGAGAATGATCAATGCCATCCTTTCTCACATCAGCAGGCACACTGGAGTGTTGCCTTTTACGGGGGGGTGTTGAGTCCAGTTCTGGAGAGGATAGTGATCTGCCACGCTTGATTTTGCCCTTTCCTGCACTTGTAAGGGAAGTGCCAACAGAAGCGTGAAACCTTCGCAAGGCCATGGGTTTTATCCTGGGCTCAAGTTTCTTCTGGTTTCTTCTGTAGAGGTTCCATGCATTGATAACTGCCACTGTGACAGTGTGCCACCAAATGTACATACCATCTTCGGGATTTGAAGCTGAATTTATAGAGTGCAGACAGCATAGCAAGGAGGTCAACACCTCCCATGAACTTGTTGTATGCTTCAACAATGGCTGGTCTGGGATTGGTGTTGGTCTGGGAACCATAATGTGTGTCTTGGTTTTTCAATCCCACCTTTTCACACTTCCAGTTGGTTCGATGCCAACATAAGAGGAGAGTAGGTTCACAGCTTTGTTGTCAAACCATCTAACGATGATGATGTTTTCCTGATTTACTCTGAAGTCCATTGACCCTCTTCCCTTTTTCTTGAGCTCTTTTTCATCCATCATGTTGCAGTCTTTGACCCTGTTCATTCGGACAGTGCCTATGTAGTGGATTCCTCTCTCTTTCAGGTGGTCGACCAGTAGAACTGATGTGAAATAGTTGTCTGCAAAGACGTTGTGATTTCTTCCTGCTGGAAGGGTTGATGTCATTTTCAGGACAACATCTCCAGTAACACCAACATCAGATCTCTCCTTGTCTGGATTTTCTGGACCTTGACAAACATCAAAGTCATAAAGGTAGCCACTTTGTCCAGCACGTCCCCACAT